TAGTCTGATATTCTAGTCTGATATTTTAGTCTGATATTCTAGTCTGATATTCTTATTCGTATCCACAGGTGAATCTTATTGATCTTTTGGTTATATACATACACACATATATATGTATGTATAAAAAAGTCTTGGTTCCAGATCAGTAGGCCAGATTTATTTGGGTGATCAGCTGGACAAAGCTCAAAAGGTCGTAATGACCTGGAACTGAATAACAACAAAGACTCTCTCCGAAGGATAAGTGTTGGTTCTCTGTGTGTTTTTATTACGTATTATTATTGGTTCTTGTGAAGAATGAGTGTGCGTTTTTATTACGTATTATTGGTTCTTGTGAAGAATGGGTGTGCGTTTTTATTACGTATTATTGGTTCGTGTGAAGAATGAGTGTGCGTTTTTATTACGTATTATTGGTTCGTGTGAAGAATGAATGTGTGTTTTTAGGTACGTCTTGTGATAATCCTGTAGATCTGGCTACTTGATGTGGCTTTGTAGTTCGATTGGCTGGTTTGCGTTACTAAAATTCTAGTCATCTGATTGGCTGGTTTACGTTAGTAAGTTACAGAATTTCTAAAGATATTTAATGTAATTCTCATGTCACTCGTATACTGTGAAAATGGCTCCTGTCTTTTATGCCCAGCCAATGAACTTGCTCAAATCTTTAAAATGGCTCCTGCCTTTTACGCCCAGCCAATGAACTTACTCAAATCTTAAAAATGGTTCCTGTCTTTTATGCTCAGCCAATGAACTTGCTCAAATCTTATAAATGGCTCCTGTCTTTTATGCTCAGCCAATGAACTTGCTCAAATCTTATAAATGGCTCCTGTCTTTTATGCCCAGCCAATGAACGTGCTCAACTCGTATAGATACTCCAGCAGTTTTCTAGCTAAACTTATATTTGTTCTTCTTATGTTCTCTTGGTTTGACACTGGGGGAGGATTCCTCGTCTTTGTGGAATCAATTGTAACGAAACGGCTGACAGAGTCTTTTATTCATCCATTTTTAATCCTGACTTCCAGTAGTTCATGGTTTTAACGTTTGTTGAATAAAACACTTATTTCTCATATTTTGGGTCAGATTCTTCGATTATAATTTTTTCTCTTTCTAAATTTTTCACAAGGCACTTGTTGCCTTCATTAAGTTGACAATATCGTACATCGATTACACAAAATGGATCCCCTTTATTCCCTTTTTTTGCTTCATTTGGAACGATTGAGTATTATTTCTTATTTCTGCTTCCAAACGTTTCTGTTCTGGCTATCTCTTCATCTATCTATAGATTGATAGAAAGATCTCATTTGAATATTTTTATATCAGTATTTATTTTGTGTTTAACTAATTGGTCCACAAATTTCATTTGTTTGTATGCAATTTTGTGCAATGGGAATGCTTCCCTTAAAAAAAGAGGCCCAGCAATCTACGCTTCCCTTTAAAAAAAGGCCCAGCAATCTGCGGATCGCTGGATCAAAATCCATCGCCGAACATGCTAGCCCTTTCAACCGTGGGGGCGTTTCAATGTTACGATCAATCCTTCTATTAGTTGGTAAAAGAGTAAACCAAGTGTTAGCGGTGGGTGGTGTTGACTAGCTGACTTCCATTTAGTTTATCACTTCAAAATTAGCAAATGTTAGCGCAGATAGCACTCGAGTAGCTTGGGGCGAATATTCAAGAAACCATTTTTTTCTCTAAAAAGCCCTTAAAAACAACATATCAAGTTTCATGTTTGTCCTCCGGTTACTGTTGGCCTTACCTTCTTAACGATGTCTCATATGGGAATTACAATAAGCAATCATGGAACTGGGAACGAGGCTGGTGATATCAGAAAATACATATATATGCTTTGGAGCTCAATTACAAAAATTCCTGACGTAAATGTTTTGCGGTGAAAGTCTCATTCAGGAAACTTTACGTATGATAAATAAAGATTTGTTATATGCGGTCATAATCTCTTAAACGTAGGGTTGCTCCTGTAATGCTTTCCTTTAAACACAACAAACGGCTTTTAAATGGAGGAGACCTTTGTTAGATATGTCATTACTATACACTATTAAGTCTACTGAACCTCATCATTCAACCTTATACGTAATTAACTACGTCATGGAAGCTTTTTTTTCCTTTCAGTAAAAGTCTGTGCATTCAAATTACCAACTTTAGTTAGTTTAAGACTATTTCTGGAAGGGGGTTATTCTAGTTTCAACATGAATGCGGTGACCGCCCAGATTACCCGATTACCATATGAATCTTCTCTCTAATTTCCAAGCATTAGAGTCTTTAATGTAATCTGTTTACACCCAACAGTAATTCAATTATTGTACCTGTCCGCTGGGAGATTGTGGTTCGTGACTCTTTCCAAACTCCGTCTTTATCTTGGGATAACACTCTGTAAAGAATCAATAGAACATCTGTGAATCAGCCATAATTCCACATTAAACTTTACAACTTTCTTAGCTTTGAAGCTGAAAGAAAATAAGATAATGTTTGCAATGGCATCAAAGAAAAAACAATAATGCTTCCTTTCTAAAGACCCCAGCTCTTACTGTCAGTGTTTACAGTACAGTGAGTAAAAATCAACCAAAGTAATAACGGGTATTCACGTTAGGAACTTGCACACAGCTTGGATACTTTATTCATCTACTATACTTTAATTAACAATAAGTAAATACATAATAAATCGGTTAGATCAATAGGAAGATATATCATTATATAACGAATACGTAGAAACAAAAAACGAACGACGATGACGAAAAATCTATACGTGATCAGTCGGATTTGTACACTAGAATAAGTTTACGAGAGATTCACAGAAAAGTTAATATATCTGCTAGGCTCGTATGAAGAATGCGACTTGTAAAATATTAATGACTAAGCCTATAAATATGCATACTATATGCTTTTTAAATACATGTACATATAGTTTAAGGGCAATAATGGACTTTCTAAATACATTTACATATAATTTAAGGACAGCAATGGACTTTTTAAATACATTTACATATAATTTAAGGACAACAATGGACTTTCTAAATACATTTACATATAATTTAAGGACAACAATGGACTTTCTAAATACATTTACATATAATTTAAGGACAACAATGGACTTTCTAAATACATTTACATATAGTTTAAGGACAACAATGGACTTTCTAAATACATTTACATATAATTCAAGGACAACAATGGACTTTCTAAATACATTTACATATAATTTAAGGACAACAATGGACATTTTAAATACATGTACATATAATTTAAGGACAACAATGGACATTTTAAATACATTTACATATAATTTAAGGACAACAATGGACTAAATTAAACTTTAAAAAAAGACTCAAAGCCAGCCCTTATCATTCAAATGTTTATTAAGCCTTTCCTTAAACTCCCTTGAATTAACTGCACCCTCCCACATATGAAGGCAACACATTCCAAAAGCCAACCACTCTGTCAGAAAGATAAAGCTGTCTTAGCTGAAGATCATTCCTTTCCTGTCAACATTTATATTTGTGTCCCCTAGTCTTATCATTCTCACCATCAAGTATGAAAAAAAAAGAAGGATGCACAAACACTACCAATTCGTTTAACAATGATAAACAACTTATCCAGTTCATTTCTAGCTTTACTATCTCAAGAGAAAACAGTATAAAATATCTTAACATCTTGGTATGACAACAGTATAAAATATCTTAACATCTTGGTACGACAACAGTATAAAATATCTTAACATCTTGGTACGACAACAGTATAAAATATCTTAACATCTTGGTATGACAACAGTATAAAATATCTTAACATCTTGGTATGACAACAGTATAAAATATCTTAACATCTTGGTACGACAACAGTATAAAATATCTTAACATCTTTGGGTTAACATCATATGGGTATGACAACTTTGCCATGTGAATATTTCACGAATTATTATCATACATGTGGCTAACTTTAAGGTTTTGTTTAGTGTCAGTAACAAGCTAACATCCTACACGTGGTAGAAAATATCCAACAAACATAGTAATTATTCTGTAACCCTTGCTTCTCCTATCTGTGGTGTCAGTAACGAGCTAACATCCTACACGTGGTAGAAAATATCCAACAAACATAGTAATTAATCTGTAACCCTCGAGCTAACATCCTACACGTGGTAGAAAATATCCAACAAACAGTAATTATTCTGTAACCGTTGCTTCTCCTATCTGTAGTGTCAGTAACGAGCTAACATTCTACACGTGGTAGAAAATATCCAACAAACATAGTAATTATTCTGTAACCTATGCTTCTCCTATCTGTAGTGTCAGTAACGAGCTAACATTCTACACGTGGTAGAAAATATCCAACAAACATAGTAATTATTCTGTAACCTATGCTTCTCCTATCTGTAGT